TTTATATCTATCTTACCTTACCAGTTATCAAGGCGATAGAAAATCCTCTCTACCCAACCTATCATAAACAACTTGTGTCATTAGGATGAACCTGATTCTTTGTTAGTGCACTTCACGTTTCCCATGGAAATCGATACCTAGAGTAGTCCTAGTGAGGGCTACCTTGACAACCGTACACTTGCTGTTTATCCATTTGCCACCTTTGGTGTCAACAGTCAGTGAGGCATTGGTGACCATTACACTGACCTCACGGTTGGACCGCCAGCTATAATGGTTGGGCCACTAGGTGCCAGCATGGGCAAAATGGCCCAATGGCCATATTAGATGTGGGAGGCTATATATAACCCCCACGTCCCCCAAATCGGCCAATTGTAATGTGGAGGAGTTGTGAAACAATATATAGGGAGTTGTTGCACCATTGTTGTATATCGGAGAGGGTTGTAGTCTTGCGAGACCATAGCAACTACGTTTGTGGTGTGGCCACCACTGTGTAATAGAGGGAACAAGGCCCATGGTGATTTGGTCGGAAACTCAATATTGAAGAAGGTGGGAGCGGTCCAAGAGAGGCCATCTCATTGACCTACTTGCATGTGGGGAAGGCCCGAGGACTATCCATGGAGTTACTCAACCGAGAGCTTGGCCCTTGCGAGGGCTTCCTTGCGAGGGGCTCCAACGAGGACTAGTTGGAAGCGAGGAGCTTCTTGGTACCTCAGTAAACATAACGAGTCGTCGATAGGAGTTTGCACCTCTACCACTCTTTAGCTTTCACATTTATATTATGTAGCTTTATATTCCTAGCTTAGTTTGATAGGCTAGTGATAGGATTAGAACCTAGGTTGCGTAACTCTTTTGCGTTAGAAATAGCAACACACCTAGCAAAACCTTAGTTGTACATCTAGATAGATTTTTTATTGCACAGGTTTTGGCTAGGTGGAAGTCAAAGACCATAACTTTAGAAAAAGATTTTAAGTTGCCTAAGTCAACACCCCTCTTAGACATCATAGACCCTTCATGTTCGTAAACATGGCATGTTGTCCCTTAATCATAGTGTGGGCATTCAAATGTTCACATTGATTCTAGAGGATATGGTGGCTAGCCTGAGGTAGCTAACATCTAGTGAGTCATTATTGTGCTTCTTATAAGAACGGTGGTCAGCATCAGCACTTGCATTATTATCTGCTGGTTCATCAGGATAGGGAACGTCAAGAACATGCTACTATTTCATTTGCTTGAGAACAATTCTCAAGTCACGGTACCAATCAATAATTGTTTTCCATTAATACTTTTTGTTAAGAATTAATCATAAATGAAAATAGGTAGAAACATTATCACATGCCATCTACAATAGAAATAAGAGCAAAGTTAGCACTATGTTTTTGCTAACCTTTCATCAAACCATTTTACAAAAGATTCACACCCTAAATGTTTTTCAGTCATCCTCCCTCAAACAACATATAGTGGACAAGATCCATATTCATATAAGTTCTATGAGCTTTGGCATTAGTGCTAGAAACCAAGTGACATACGTATGCAACATTTGCTAGTCATAGTAATGTTATAGAACATGGATATTGCTTTTAATGATACAAGTACAATTTTGTTTGTCAATCAAATGTGTGCTTATAGTTGTTATCTGCTATATGATACTTGATGCTTATACTACAAATCTGAGCTAAGATTTTGAAGGTTCAGATCAACACTGCAAATAATCTTAATAAGCTTTTATGGTATTGAAGGGAAAAGCATAGCTTTTGATGGTATAGAAATAATTTCCTCTTATTTCTCACACAAAAAAAAATACTAAAATAGTGTATTCTGTGTTGGATTCAACTAAAATTAGTTTGGTGGTGTTGTAGATGTTGCTACATATTTTTATGAAATTGGTGAAACATAATGAAGTTTGACATAGATCAAAAATAAAACACCTTTGATTTTTAACACGAGTTTCATCGAATTGAGAATTGGACACCTAAACTGGATGCAAATGTACTATCTCACCCTTCTCGAAGCAAAGGCTTGCATATATATGTTGCTAATCTGAACTACTTATAAAATATAAAAAGTTGAGAGCTAAGAGAGGACCACGCCTTATATGTGAGAGATGTGGACGGCGTGCAATTTTGTACGTACCAAAACCATGCTTTCATCACCTCGATCTCGTGGGACGGTTCCAGACCTTTTTTTTTAGTTGGCGCATGCATTCCTTCCATGTTCTGAGATCATTGCAGCCAAACTCATGTTGAGAGCGGCTTTAAAGCACATGAGAAACTGCAAGTGTGCATGCTTAACAAACACAGGACCACTCGCTCTCACCACTCTCTCTATGTATAGGATACGTATATGTCAGCAAATCAATACCACTTCATGCCAGATTGCCATGTATAGACAAAGGAAGTGAGAGATAAAGGAGAGAGACTAATTACTCGTGGCACCCTTGATTAGTGGCTTTCGCAACTTTTGATACCCAGATTTACTAATTAATTATTCAAGATGAGCGATAATCATTGGGAATATATTGGAGAGGATGATTAAATATGATATAGGCTTGTAGCCATGCATATTAACCAAATCACCTGCCCCTTAGTTAGCTTTGTTTTATAATGACACGATGATAGGTGTGACCGTGTGATAAGTGAGAAAAACAAAGGCACAAATGTTTTTCAAAAAGGCTGGATGATGTGAAAGGAGCACACAAGAATTGGCAGAATGAAAACCAAAATGAGGATCAATGATCGAAAAGAGGTGAAACGATGCATCGTATGCAGCTAGAGGCAGCTGCGTCAATTCTGTTGGCTGTGTTTCAATTTTAAACAGTGGTGATATATTCTCGCATTTATAATTAATATTTTAAAGATAAATATCATCTAGTTGCAAAGCTATCACCGCACATTACATATTATAACTAGTGTTGACAAAACAACACTCCTAGCCCGTCTCAAACATCGTTATCATGGACAGTCCTTCAAGTGATGTGTAAAATCATTGCATACTTTTGAAAAAACATAGCATCATTTTTTCTTTTATTTGATTTTTCATAAAAGCTCATTTCACTCTGGTTCAGCTTGGCTGGGTTCAAATTGGATCTTAAATGGTAGAGGGGACGACTATCATAAATGAAAATAAATCAATTTTGAACAAAGTTCAAAAAAGTGTACAGCTCATTACTCGTTATCCACCCTATGTATCACATGTACTTACGGTATCCCTAGTACTAAAAACGATACAATTACAATTAAGAAATAGTTTTAGCATCTGAATTCAGCTTGTTTCTTGAAGGGATGGGGCATCTAAGATGATAATTTAACAACTATTGAGTCCCTTTCGTATATATGCAAATGTCACACTCATAATGCAGAATCTTGTGTAGCTTGCTTGTCTAGTTAATCCATTGCTCAAAGGTGGCCAACATTTTTCATGGCATATCAACAACTCATTTATACCTCGATCCTATGTCAAATAACAAATGCCAGAAGCATAAATATTGTGCAATCGACATTAACAAGATGCCATGTTAGGCCTAGAGCACAAAACTACTATCATGTTGACAATTAAGGTAAATTGTTGTCCATTTGCCCTACAATGACAGGCTTCATATAATGATTGCATTTCTACTTACGGAAAGCTTAAGCTTACTGCTTATCTGATCATCATGAAGTCCACATCTGCTAATAGTGTGTAATTCTTGAAGAGAACCGAAGAAACAGTAGTTATGTCAAAAAGGAAGTGAAACGAAACACAGGAGCTTTCGTGTCATTAACATGTTTGACAGCAGGGGCAACGAATCCCTAAAGTTAAGAATCCAGTGTGTTCCGTATATTATGCTTTATGCTGCTTTAACAGTTTGGCCTACATTGCTGTAATAAGATAAATTAGATCAGCAGGACCGTAGTAATATATATATATGAACCTTCTCAAGTAAGACATAACCATGTGGAATGTGTTTGCTTGAACATTAGCTCAACTTGCAGGCTGTAACCAATGCTTGTTGGATCGGAGTAGGCATTAAGAGGACTAACCAAAGAAAATATATAGACAAGCAATTATATACCGTATTCGTAGCTGGCTTGCATCAACACGGCAACTTTCATATGCAATCTATCTTTATTCAAATCAGGATCGGAGGCACAGTTGTCCACACGTTCTAGAAGATATGTCTGCCATCCTAGAAGATATGCATATGTCTGAATTACTGAGACAGAATTAATAACCCATGCATAGATATGCTATATGTCCTTGCTCACAATTGTTCTCCCAGCTAAATCCTTCAAATAATGACATGCTCATCATCCTCTCAGCTACACCATTGTTCTCGTTTTCTACATAGCTGCTTTACATGCTTGCAGTGCAGAATCCAATGCCATGACCCATTATAAGAGAAAAGTGTGAGAACAAGAGAATGTCATTTTGGGAATTGGAGTCACGTCTTTGATGTCACCATGAATTAAACGTAAAATAATAATATTGTGCCTAAAGGTACGCTACCACCTTGTGGCTTACTTGTGCGTGAGACAATTAGAACTCTACACTCTCTCTGCTAGCCTAGTTAGCGCATGCCAATCGTGCTTGATGGGACCTAGGTCAAAAGTGAGCGAACTTTATATGTTATATGCATAAAGTGGGTCAAGATTTAGAGAATAAACAGCATGGTAGCCAGAAGATTTTATTCACCAGTTCTAGCTAGACAAGAGAGCAAATGGTCTTTGCCTCCACTGGCCCTAAATTAAAGGATGGAGAAGGAGCCTCACAACTTCTTGCAAGAGCCAACCAAATCACTTATTATTCCCCAAAGCAGATTCCAGAACCTCTGGAGAAATAGAGAAACATTAGTTAGTTTGGTCTCTTGCTAGAGACGAAGACGTCTCTTGATCATCATCTATCGATCTCTCTATAAATAGGCCTCTTCCCTTCCTTCATCCTCTCACAGTACAAACCACATTTGAGCTCTCATATCCTAACCAAAGCTCAACAAGCACTACCATTCCTTTCGCCCAAATCATACCATGTTCAATATGTCTAGGGACCCATTGGTCGTCGGGCATGTTGTCGGGGATATTGTGGATCCCTTCATCACAACTGCGTCACTGAGGGTATTCTACAACAATAAGGAGATGACAAATGGTTCTGAGCTTAAGCCATCTCAAGTGATGAATGAGCCAAGGGTCCACATCAGTGGGCGTGACATGAGGACTCTCTACACACTTGTAAGTGTGTGAATGTCACTGCGGGCATTTCATTGGTTAATTCTTGTTTCTTGTGTTGATAATTTGTAGATTCTTGGTTTCTCCTTTTATTTGGCTCAAGTTTCATATCTTGGCTATATATCTATACTATTAGTTGACCTAGTTCTGGATATATCTTTAAGTATCTACTCATCCGTGATGATAATAGATAAAAAGCAAAGAATATGTTTTTTTTGTGAACTCTCAAGCCCTTTTGTATGCCTTTAAGCTGATAAGACCAACTGAGCTATCATATATTCTATAAGGTGCAATTTTGGATCATACAACGATTAATGTTCATTGTTTAGTAAGGTTAAACGCCCATAAATATTGATCTCAGTGTCTTTATGTAATGTTCTCTATAAATATTATCTATCTATATATACACACACTCGTGTAACAATGCAAATAAAATGCATTAGTGCATCGAAGAGAATATGTCAATTGGAGACCTGATTCCTTAGTATCTAGATTGGCTAACCTAGTTCATGTGTCTATCTATCTATTTATTGTGTTGCTAGGTCATGGTGGACCCAGATGCACCAAGCCCCAGTAACCCTACTAAAAGAGAGAACCTTCACTGGTAAGCTCTCTCAGCAGCTTTGTCCATGCATGCCGCCGGGTGGTAATCCACTGGCACTTTCCATGTTCACTTTATATGCACGCCATGCGTGGCATGCTGCTCCTGTTGTTGATTACGAGAGTATACTATTATCACCTTCATTCATGTCGTACTGATTGGTTAGTTCTCAATGTCCCTCATAGGTTGGTGACAGATATTCCAGAGACAACTGATGCCAGTTTCGGTAAGTGATTTGACCCACACTGGTTGCACGGTCTGAATGTAGCCGTGAGTTATGCTCATGTTGATTAATAATTTCATTTTCGGCGCCGTCATTAAAAAAGTGTCTTTTAGATTTATTTGCCACGCCCAAGTTAATTATACCATTAACTGTAGCATGAAAAGAGAGAACACAACCGTAACTTTGAACTTTAAACGTGAGAAAGAATCATTCTGTCAACTCCATTTACTCTGGGATGTTAAAGTTAAAGCTTGGAAAACATTTTCTTGCCACATCACATGCTCACTGGATTCGTTGTTCACAAGCATTTTAATAAAGTATATCCGCTCCACATTAATTTCCAATTTAAAGTTTTTTAACATTTAACAAACAAATCTAGCCATACACAGAAAAAGAATCTGATTACAAGATATTCTGGTTTCAATCATGTCAAGGCAAACTACAACTCCACATTAAAACTAAAGATGAATGGAAAACATGCACTGTCAATAAATATATAGATATTTCAGTTTAATAAAGTTGATATTGTATGTAACAGGGAATGAGATAGTTCCTTATGAGAGCCCACGTCCAACTGCCGGAATCCATCGCTTTGCATTCGTCCTATTCAGGCAGTCAGTCAGGCAGACTACCTATGCGCCGGGGTGGAGATCTAACTTTAACACCAGGGACTTCGCAGCCATCTACAACCTTGGCTCCCCTGTCGCTGCAGTGTACTTCAACTGCCAGAGAGAGAACGGCTGTGGTGGAAGAAGGTACATAAGGTGATACATACATGAACGAAGTTGTGTCCTAATACACGTAGTTGTGTGCCTATGCTGCCTCTCTGAAGGCAGAAAAGATAACAGCAAATTGGGGTACAAGTATACCCTAGCTAAATGAAAAAAATATATCCTGTGTGTTTGTGTGTTTGTGGGTGAGCATTTCAAGTACGATGTTCACAATCATAAGAGCTATTATTAGATCACTACACATTGTTACCAGCTCTGATGTAATGCTATCTATCATATTACTTCATTGCCCTAGCTTAATTTCTCTCAATCACAAGAAGTATAGCTGGGGCAATATATTAATTGGAAAAAAAGGCACGGTTTGAGATACATATTTCTGATGGAAATTGTGAAATTGAACGTGTACTTTAAACCGTGACCAGACAACAAACTCGATCAACACTACCTGTGAAGATCTATATCTGTTGTCTTCCGTGTAACTCTGCAATGCATATAAGATAATCTTAAAGCAATGTAAAGGTTTCCGGTCAATTCAAAGACCTAGCTATGAAGCCCTTTACCTTCATACAATTAGCCCCCAAGGTGAAAACCTGGGCCTCATGCGGGCATGCTCTCAGACGTGAACTTAATTTCCTTTTCACGTTCACACAGCCGGAAACCAGGGCAAACTCCCATACTTTAGTGATAAAAAAATAATATTGCATTTATGCTGTCTGAAACTATGTGATACTCCATCTATCCCTGAATAAATCATCTTATAGAGTTGTCCTGAAATTATTTGTCATAAAATTATTCTAGTTAGTACAACATGTAATATATTTTCATAATATACCACTAGTACAAAAATCATTTTTAGCGACGCCACTCTTTTCTATCAGAGGCGGTTCTAACTAGCACGCTGCCTCTAACCGCGCCGGCGAGCACTGTAGCTCCATGACCGCATCTGAAGATCCAAGTTTAAGGGCGGTTCTATTAAGAAAATAGATGTCCATTTTTAGCGACGGTTGCTTTAAGAGAACCATCCCTGAAAATGGATTTTCAGAGGTGGTCCTCTTTACAAAACCGTCTCTAAAAGTGACCTATTTTCAAAGACGGTTCCTTAAGAGAACCGCCCCTATAGAAGAATTAATAGAGGCAGTTCTTTTTAGTCAACCGCCCCTAAAAATGCCCCCCCCCCCTAAATACCCCTTCTTCCTCCTCGAGACAGGCTGCATGCTGAGCACCATTAGCTCACTTGGAGGGTGAGAAATAGCAAAAATAGAGGGGGGAGTTGCATTTGAGAGGTGAGATAGTGGCATCCCTAAACTCTTTTCAAACTTCACATGTACATTTCTTTCACTTAGAGATCTAGAGACAGACATGCAAAATGTTAGAATTTTTTTATTTTTCCTAGCAATTTAGATTAATTTTTGCCCAACTTACTTTGGCTCACATGAACTTTAGTTAATTTCTATCACTACTACACAAAAACTTTTGCGAGGCATTTCGAAAATAGCCTCAGAGGTGGGCAGCCATTTGAAACGCCTCGGTTAATGCCAAGGATTAACTGAAGCGATCATTTTTTATTAACCGAGGCGGTCACAAACAACCGTCTCGCAAAATCAATTTACTAAGGCGGTCGTCTTAATCCAACCGCCTCAAAAAATAGTTTATTTTCGGAGGCGGTTTCCTTATAACAACCGCCTCCGTAAATCTATTTTCGGAGGCGGTTAAACTATAAGGCCCGCCTCAATAAATGATGGCCTAGTAGGCAGCCCATCTCTGCCCGATAACCAACTGATTGTATATATAGTAGAGTTTTAAGGTTTCCTTTGCCACTCCCACTCCCCAGAGCCGCGCCCCCCGGACTCACCAGATCCGTGCCCCTCCCCTCACCCTCCCCACACTGCGCCCTCAGCGGCTCCTCCGCTCAGCGCCCACCCAGGCACCTCACTCACCTCTCCCTCTCTCTCTCCCTGAGCGGCTACTCCCTGTCCCTCTCGTCTCCATCGACGGTGGCATGCAGTCAGGCGGCCACGCGGCGTGGCGGCGCTACGGCATGGAGGTCTGTTACTCGTGCCTCGGATCTGGAGGAAGGTCACTCACGGCGGTGCGGCAGAGTGGAGGTAGTTCCCCATCTCCCTCTCTTTGTCTCCTCACTCTTCCCTCTTCTCCCATAGGCGAGCAGCACCCGTGCCCCTCCTCTCCTCCCTCCATGGCTCCACCATGGTGCAGATCCGACAGGGTGGAGTCCTATGACAGTGGATCCAGTGGGGAGGCGCCCTCTGGCGGTGGATCCGGCGGCGAGGAGCACACCGACGGTGGATCTGGTGGCGAGGAGGCTGGATTTGGTCGGGAGGAGTGCACCATCGGCAGATCCGACGACGTGGAATCAGCGGGGAGGCCCAGATCCAGTGTTGGGAGCAGATCCGGCCACCGGAGGCTGCGACGGCGTGGATCCTACCACGGAAAACAGCGGCGCGTGGTACCAGGCTCGGTGGGCCTTTTTTATTTCCTAAAATTATTATCCATTGAGGGCTACATAATTCAACCGCCTCCGATAATACCATTAACCGAGGCAGTTTTTACAACCACCTCGGTTAAGGCCACGATTAACCGTGACCTTTCGGCCAAGGCGGTTGCAAAAACCATCTTGGTTAACCCAAAATGCCCACCATGGTTAAAAATATTGTAGTAGTGTATATTTACTTTATCATTTTTTAAACTTTAGGTCTAGAATAATATAATATTTGTATAGAAAAATAGACATCAATTGCTACAACATTTATATGCGAATAATACCTTCATGCAAATATACCTTTTATTTTTGAAGGGCACATATGGACAGGTCATGGATGTACACAAAACAAAGACATGAAGCTTTCTACATACAAGATGTGAATGGTTTTATTGAAGCAGCTAAAAGGCACGCTTTGACTAAGAAGACAAAGGATATATATTGTCCTCGTTTTGACTATCGAAACTGTATAGTATGCCAAGATCCAAATACGATAAGATCACACTTGGTAAGAAGGGTTTCATAGAGAACTACGAGATTTGGGATCATCATGGTGAGAAACGTACAGAAGCAGGCAACATGAAAGGTACAAATGCATCAGAAGTAAGGGAAGATGACGATGCCCATCTTGTCATGATGCATGATGGTATAGGAGATGACGTTGTAGGCAATGGTGGTGTCTAAGGCTGTGGTGGTGGAGAAGGCTGTGGTGGGGATGATGATGGTGAAGACAATGAAGAAGATGAAGAAGAAGACTTCCTGGACGACATGTTGTGGCACGTAGAATTAGAATTTCTATTGAAAGGGCTAGTAACATGGAGATGATGCGTAAGGCAAGGAAAGAACATTTGTACCTAGAGGAAAAGGGTTGTGAGAAAAGGTGGTCATTTCTATGTTTTGTGCTAGACATACTGATCTTGAAGGCTAAGTACGGCTGGTCCGATAGGAGCTTCAACAACCTATTGACTTTGTTGGCTAAACTTTGTGCCTACCAACACGTATCAAGCGAAGAAGCTTATCCGTCCACTGACGATGGGTGTGGAATGAATACATGCGTGTCCAAACCATTGTATCCTTTATCATGGTGTTTTCAAAGACCTAACGAATTGTCCAACTGTTGTGCTAGTCGATACAAATTAAAGGAAGACCGAAGTGAAGTACTAACACTAGGAAAAATGGAAAGAAGGGCTGAAAGAAAAATGACGCTTCTCAGAACATTGAAGAGGAAAACAGCACCTTAACAATTGATGATACTAACCAAAGAAGAATTCCTGCATTGGTTATGTGGTATCTATCACTGACTGATCGCTTGAGGCATTTGTTCTCAAACCCAAGGGACTCAGAGCTCATGCGATTGTGGGCTTTGGATGAACGCAAGAAAGACAACAGGGTGCTACATCACCCATCCGATGCAAAATAGTGGAACGACTTCCATGCCAAGTACCAAGAACTTCATGAAGATCCACGAAACATAAGGTTCGCTTTGAGCACTGATGGAATGAATCCTTTTGGTGACAGGACCAGCACACACAGCACATGGCCAATTATCTTGTCGATCTACAACCTCCCTCCATGGTTGTGTTAGAAGAGGAAGTATTTGTTGCTGACCATTATAATTTCAGGGCCCAAAGCACCAGGCATCGACATAGATGCTTTTCTCATTGATGCAAGAAATGGAGACACTATGGAAGCATGGAGTGAAAATGTGCGATGAGCTTGCGAAGAGTAGCTTCACATGTAAAGCCATCATTTTTGTTACCATCACTGACTACCCAGGAGAGTTTTCCCTTTCAGGGCAGATCAAAGGATTCATGGGATGATTGGAATGCTTGATTGACATTGTAGCTCAGTTACTAGAGGGATCTCGAAAGGTAGTGTACATGTGTCACTGACATTTCTTAGTGGAAGGACATAGGTACCAGAGCAAGAGGATGATGAAATACTTCATTGGTAGTACTATTGAGACAGGGCATGCGCTAGAGAGGCGGGATGGGCATGACGTGTATAACATGGTGAAGAACATCAAAGTCGCCTATGGTAAAAAGAAAAAGGATGGAAAGATGTCAATCTTCTTCAAGTACCTGCCTTACTGGCTGGACTTGGCCGTGCGCCATTCCATCGATGGCATGCACATCAAAATGAATGTGTTTGAGAGTGTCATTGGGATATTGATGGACATTAAGGCAAAGACAAAGGATGGACTAAAGTCATGGGAGGACCTAGTACATTTGGAGTCTAGACCACAGCTTCACCCAAAAGACTTAGGGAACAGAAGACACTACCTTCCTACAGCCAGCTACAACCTGACAAATGATGAGAAAAGAGCAATCTGCCTGAGCCTAAGTGTCGACGAAATATGGTCGGCAGTCCACCGAGGGGGGTGCCCGTGGTGGTAGATTATCGGTAGACGGTGCGTGTAATCAGGAACCAGATGGCGACACAAGGCACAGAGACAGTGATTTAGACAGGTTCGGGCCGTCTGGTCGACGTAATACCCTACGTCCTGTGTCTTTGGTGTATTGTATTGAGATGTATACAGA